TTTACTACCCTCGATCTCTTATGCCTCTTATTTCTGCTATATCATGGTTTGCACATGGTTTGATAACAATATGTCTATGAATACTCATACAGGAAAGGTGTGTAGTAAGGCATTTAGGGGGCTTTATAATATTAGGCAAATTAGGAAATATCTGTCTGCAGAATCAACAAAGTGTTTAATTCATGCGTTTGTTACATCACATTTAGATTATTGCAACGCTCTTTTGTATAAGCTTCCGCAATATCAATATGACCGACTTCAAAAAGTTCTTAATGCGGCGGCTCGGGTTACATGCTTAATTCCTAAGTTTGCCCATATTACTCCGGTACTTAGGGAACTTCATTGGTTGCCAGTGAAATTTAGAGTAGAATTTAAGATTGCGCTTTTAGTTTTTAAAACGTTGAGCGGCCTGGCGCCACTATATTTATCTGAACTACTTGTTGTAAAGCCTAGAACTAGATACAGCCTGCGGTCTGATTCTGAAAGATTGCTTGTAATCCCTACGGTGACACGGAAGACTTTTGGCGATCGAGCCTTTTTCCATGCTGGACCAACAGTATGGAATGCTTTGCCATCCACCCTTAGAAACTGTAAGAACATTGACTCTTTTAAAGTACAGTTGAAGACTTATCTTTTTAAGAAAGCTTTTAATTTGTAATTTTATATTCTTATTACTATTATTATTTCTGTCCATTTATTGTATATATATACATATATATTTTCTTGTACATATTGTAAAGCGCTTTAGAATATTTTAATAGTTAAAGCGCTATATTAAATGTAGTGATTATTATTATCATTATAAAATAGTCTTCGACGGTTTCCTTAAACTTAGTCCCTTCGTTTTTAGAAACTCGCACAAAATAAAAGGTTTTCCGCATAAAATAAAAGATAATAGCTTGCCCCCAAGGCGGCCAATAGCACCAATAGTTTTGTCGTCAAAACTCAGCGGGGCGTCTTAACCGCCACACAATGTTTTCTCGGAGAGACATTCGTCTGTTGTCTCGCTTGCGTCGAAGGAGTGCTTGATAGCCAAAGGAAGATGAAGAGCGAAACCTAACCCGTTTGAACTTAAGCGATCTATTAACATGAGAGCGGGACGACCTCAGACAAAAAACACTTTGGAAATATTTTGCACCCGTTAGTCGTATTTTCTATTCTTCGTTTTCACTGTCACTCAATAAACACGGCACTCAAAAATAAATTAGAAACCGTCCAGAGGAAGAAGCCAAGAAAATGAAATGTTATAAAAGACTAAAATATAAACAATTTGTGCAAATCGCAGGTCTTTGTGGCCCACAGTTGCTGAGTTATTTGCCGAAACATTTCACGCACCTTTCAGTGTAGAGCGTTGTATAGAGACGCCATATTGGTGTATCAACAAAAATATCTGGAGTTCACTTTTCCTATAAAAGCTCTTCCTTTTTACTCGAGAGCTAGCATACGTGAGCATAAACACATCTTTTAATACTTGAAATGGTTAAACTGCTGAAAACCAAGAGGAAAGCCTTTTTTTCAATGAGACAGCATTCCTACTTTGGTGCCACGCACTGCGAAAACTCGGAAGTTCAAATTGCTGTGTATTTTCGAAATGAAACATGCTTCGGGGCTGGAAACTCGTACAAAGATTTTTATATCGAGCCGTGTTTTCATGTAAAATATGATCTAAAGTGACCCACTTAAAAGGGGCGAGCTTTGTTGAGAAACCACTTAAGAGCAAATTCCCCGGAACTAGCAAGAAGAAACCACTTTGTTGGAATAAATTTGGCCACGATTGTGGCGTGTTTTAATCGAACAATTAGCAAAATTCAAACACAGCAGTAAACATTTCGGTATATGATGTCTTGTTCACAAATGGGGCGACAAAATACCGCTAGCCTTAAAAAGTGATACTATCGAAGCGACCGGATGGATTAAACGTGATAAATCGCTGGGAGGTGGTGAAATGGGGAGGAGACGGGAAAAGTTTTTCTGGGGATCTGTTCAATCTGATGGCGAGAGGAGGAAAAAAAATTATCTCGCTGGAACTGTCTTTCATATACTAGGCATGTGACCTACTTAAACCTGATTGGCCAAACTAGTGCTAGTATCGAATTCGTGCCTGGTTCAAGCCAACCCCAGCGGAATATCACGTGCGTACCACGCCTCGATATAAATTACATTATGTCGCGCCATAATGTTCTGTTATTTTCTTTTTAGCTTCAACCTAGTGTAAATACGAATTCCTAAAACCTCGCTTTTTTGACTTTGCAATCTGATGACGTCACTGTCAAAACCATCAATGTACACTGAAATATTTTGTTTCTTTTCTTTACTGCTGTTTATTATTAGAAACATCGAAACTAAAAAATACTGAGATGAAAGCTAATAAGCTATCCGTAAATATATATATATATATATATATATATATATATATATATATATATATATA